GTGGCACCCACCAACCAGTTTTGGTACTTTTGGTTTGGGATGGAATGGAAAGTAGTGCAGGGCGGCGAGGTTCCCGATTATTGAAAGCGTGGAATCGTAGGAATCGACTCCGAACCCAATGACTTACTCAGTCATGACGTGATTTCTTCCCGTTCTTACCTAATTGGCTCCGGAAATCTTCAGGATTTAGGATAACCTTGATTTTGGAACACTACGAAGCATCAACTTTTATTTTTCAAAAATAAATTCTTTAAAAAAAGAAGATTTAAATGATTAAAGATACTGGTAACCGTTGATTTACGTAAAACGGAGTCGGAACTTTTTCTATAGCATTAATTGTGTTTTTCGGATCCGGAATCGATTTTTCGGCCAGCTCTAAATGGAAAGCAAAAAGTGGGAGTCAGAGGTGCACAAAAATAGTCCAGTATCTTCACTATTTGAACAAAGGAAACAAACTCATGGTGTCAGACAACAAATGAGCTTTCACATCTCAACACCTCAAAGTTGTTATTTCAGTATGTTTCTGTCCCCCCATCCCCAACTAAAATACAACACACAAACACGCAGATTCAGGACTGAAATTTATATTCAACATTAGTATTTTCCGCCATGAAGCTAAGGATGGGGTCGAATTTTCATTTCGCTGAGGCTGACAGAGGCGGTATATCCCGTTAAATGTACCCAGTGCAAGCCCTTCGCACGAACTGTAGAGCCCCACTCTCCGTTGAGACAAGCATGAAAACAGCCGACATGGTACCACCAGCCTCCGTGGAACTGTTCGGCACAGTGTTGAGCATAATCATGATCGTTGTCACGGTCCTTGGTAGAGAACATCGAGCCGTTGTGAAAATCCAGGTTGTCTTCTACATTACCCGAAAATCCGGATATGTAGATTTTGTAGTTTTCAGATTCTCCGCTCAGCGAAAAGTTTTTGTAGCTGGCGTAGTAGTCTTTTCCTTCGAACGTCATGTCGATCCTCATCTCATACCTCCCCTGGTGGTGAGAACAAGAGGAAA